GGGCGCCATGCCCCCAAGCAAGGACTTAAAGGACATTTCTACCCAGCTGCACGGCTCCATTTATATGGCTGTGTACCATATTTTTATGCCAGACTCCAGCAGGCTTTGTGTAAATGTTTGAATTCTATTTTTTAGGCATCTCTCTAGGAAATGTGTGTTTAAAAAAAAAAAATCAAAGGAAGCTGAAACTTTCTTTTATATATTCAGGTTAGAATAAAAACCTTTGTTGGTTTAGTGTGGCGTATGCGTTGAATATGTTTTCCAGATTCTTTTCTTCTAGGGACCAAACGACTTTGCTAACATCCAAATCAGTGCAGCCTGTGCTCTGGAATGGCTGATATTCAGGTGCTAATTTAAGGACATTTGTGGCACAGGGAAGAGTCCTTGGGCTGAGATCCTCTTGCCAAACACATGTGAACTGGATCAGTTTTGACAGGTATCTGTGTGTTGTTATGCAGAAGGTGGTGGTTTTCAAATTGGGACTCATTCTGAAAGGGGCTTCTTGGAATTTTGTGTGTGTGTGTGTGTGAACATCTCTTTACAATGCCTCCAACAGAGTCTCTCCCTTTTAGAAGTTTCTGACACTTCTTGAAAGATATGTTTTCATATCCATTTAATTTGTTGTGTTATTTGGTCAATCATCCAGTAGCCCAATGAACCAGACTCACATGCGTGTTTTACTGGGGGTGTGTGGAACGGTTTCCAGTGGTATTACCTCAGTGTTAGGTTTATTGTCATTTTTCAGTATATGTTGTCTCTGATGGGTTGGGTTCCACCACTGTGATTGGTCCAGGAAAGAAACCGCTCAGTAAAAACCTTGGCATTACACAGTATTTTAAAAAGATGATTATAATCTCACACTGTAAATGATTTTTTAGGGGGGGAAAAATCTGTGCCATCAAGTTGCCTCCGACTCATGGTAACCCAGCGCATGAGCGATTTCCAAAACGTTCATCCTCAGCCACCCTGCTCAGCTTTTGAAACTCAAGCCTGTGGCCACACCTTTAAACCGGAAACCAGCTGCTGGAGGTTCTGTGCAGCATTAGTTACAGTACATAGACATAGAAGGGAAATCCTTTTTCCATCCCATTTTTGAAACGGCAAACGGTGAATAACCTATCCTGTGTCAAGGGTGCATACCTGCATTATTTGCCCCTTCATTATTATACCCAGAAATAGCTATTTTTAAAGAACTTTAAAGGGACAAAAGGTGAATAACATGGACACATGGCCCTTTTCAGTCAGGATGCTACATATACGCTCTCCTTACTTGTAGGCAGTAGCAAGTCTCAGCTCTAGAAAAGAAGTTGGTGATTTCCATGGGCGGCATGTTGACCTGCCCTGAACCCACCAGGGCCTCCATCTTAACCCTGCTGCTAAAGTTGGTGTGTGATGGTAAAAGTCAGTGGTTGCTCTGGTTCAAACAATCCATATACAGTAGCTGAATTGTGGCAACAAAGGAATACAGCCATTTTCCTTGTCTAAAAAAGGAAACACCTACTTGGTGGCAGCTGGGGCCACAGAAATAGGCAGGAGGACCAGATGCTGATGCAAAACCTGTCTGTTTCTGTGCTTGGCACAGAGGAGCGTGGAGGGCTCCTTTCCTCCTCTGCTGGCCCCCTTACTCCAGGCTATTGTTGAAATAAAAGACTACCTAAGAAGACAAGCAGCTAGCCTGGATGACTTGAGCATGGAACCTAGAACTTAATGCAGACAATGAGGGTCCTGTGATACACCGCAGAAATCTGAAAAGGTATAAGGATTTGAAAGCCCCCAGTTTAAAAATAAATAAAATAAAAGTGGTAGCATTCATTTACTTTTTCTTTCCCTTGTGGCAGAGATGTGGCCCTCTAGGTATTATTGGACTACAATTCCTGTTGTCCCCTGCCGTTAGCTGTGTTGGCTAGGGCAGATGGGAGGTGTAGTCCCAATAACTGCTGCAGGACCTTGTATAGCTCACCCATGTCTTTATCGCATCAATGCTTATACTCAGATTCAAAATTCAAGTTGCACAGATCTGTCCTATACTGAGGTCTCTTCCGTGTGCTGGAGCCGTACGGGTTTGCTCATCAAGGGATGAGTAGGTTTCTTTAGTGGTTGCTGGTTTCACAAAGTTAGCACTGAGAGGGTCTTCCTAAGAGGATGTGTGTTCGCTATCTCTGACCTTATACCATGCCAGACGCCATCTAGACAGAGAGTAGCACACAATCAGAATTCTTTCCTAGCCCTACATGAAGGTGCTGGAAATTAAACCTGGGACTTCCTGCATGCAAAACAAGTATCTTATCATGACACTACATCTCCTTTGATAGGGCCTCTGGTGCTTAAACTGCAGCTTCAAAGCTGTAGCTCAGCAGCAGTTTTAAAAGTTAATATATGAATGGGAAGATGCTCTTGTTTGTGTGACCACTGAACCTCAAGAACATTAGGCCTTTAGCTGTGAAGAAGAGGGTCCCCAGTTGGGGGAATGAAGAAAGAAGGATGACTTTTCAGCCATATGCTTTCAGCCATCACAGTGTGAAATTCATGCTTTTCTCTATTCTGGTTACATTTGGGGCGGATCTCCTCAGAAACATGTCGGGGAGGGGCAGAGCAAGCCATCCTTGTGAAGAAACTAGGTTAATATCAATTAAATAATGGACATTTTCTGATTACGGTATGCTCTACTAGGCACTGGAGCTTTGCTTCTACTTTGTCCATTACTGCAAAAGTATAGAAGAAGAAAGTAATACATTTAATTGCTTTGCTTTTCCTTGTATAAAAACGGTTGCTCCAGCCTATCTCACTTCCTTTGGCAAGGGACCCAACAGTGCCCCTTGACTTGCCTGGAATAGTATATAGACTACTGAACCAGGGATTGGGTCAGCCTAAGTTGGCAAGGAATGCTCTGCCACTGGAGAGAACAGCAGGCACTACATAAATGTACCCACACGTTGTGCCCTCCAACTTCTGGCCTCCAGAATTCAAGAATGTTGGTTATACTAGAAGACTTGGAGAAAAATACAAACGGGGAGGTAAATATTTGAGCCCCCGCCTTCCCTGCTAACAACTGGGTGCCCACTTCATCATCAGGAGAGGAAGATGTTCTGAATGGTTCCATAGGCAGGGTTTCCAGCGAGGGTCAAGAACCTGGCACTCTGTAGGGCTTTACAAAACACATAAAGCTGCACAGCAGAAGTCTGCAAATCTTATAGCCCATTTGTCTCGGTCACCTTGTGGAGGACAAAAGCTTTCCTTAGCCATTGCGTCAAAGCTGTACAACTTTGGCTTAGACAGTGTGACAGTTGCCTATCCTTTCTGGGATGACTACCCTTTATTCTAGGGGGCTCCAAACTCTGTGCAGTTTTCAGCCCTCCTAATCCGAAGCAACCCAGGTCTAATGCCTTGTTTTCCTCCTGAGGGCTTGGAGGTGCATGCTGCCAACGCTCCTGCTGCCTTTAAGAGCCAGGTTTGTGGCTCAGCTTCCACCAGAGATGAGTAAGAGCTTTGCTTCCTTTTGTTTCTTGCCAGCATTTGCCAACATCCACAGGCTGCTTCGTATTCAGGATAGAAAAGAATGCCAGATTTTGACATTTTGAATGTAAGAGAAACTGAAGTTGGCAGAGCCATCCATGCAGGGCTAGGCCTTTGAATGCTTAACTCTAAAACCTCTAGGTTTGAATCCCTAGAGGGTATTTCAACTGTAATAGTGTTGAATGACAGTTGTCATATCTACTGTATGGATGCAGAATAAGGAGACTTTGAGGAGCAACATTATAGGATAGTCCTTTTAGTGCTGAGAGTAACTGTACATATTGACTGTGGCATGGGGCAGGGTTTCTTTGCATTTGTTTTCTAAGGATTTACCAAAATGGGCAATTTCCATCATATTCAAGCAGGAAAGCACATGAGGTTCTAAAAAGTTCTGGTGAAAGCTAAACTGACAGCTATTCCCCTCCCTAGCTTGCAGGCATCAGCTGGCAGATCAATATATGTAGTTTGGGTCCCATGGATAATCTCCAGTCTTTTCCTATCCCTGTTTTTTTTTTAAATTATCACTATTATTTTAAACAGCAATTGTTATTTTGTGGATATTCTGGGACTTTGCTGTAGTATGTTCCAAAATGGGAAAGGAGTGAGGAATGTCCTACTCCATCAGAAGTGAGAAGTTGTTAGCAATTTGTCTCTAGAATAAAGGAGGAAGGAAACCACTTGGGATATTTTCCGCATCCGGTGCTGAGGTGTCTTTATAATTAAGTCTCTTCCCGTGTTAAATCAACCAAACTAACAACCAATCTGGGTTGGGGACAGAATTCATTTTAAATCTTTCTGTGAAAGCTGCAAAGATGGAAAATCTCCTTCTCAGTGTAACACTCTACCTGACACTTCCCTTGGGATCTCCTGCAAAGGTCCTAGAAGGGTGACCACAGACTCTTTCCTCTTCCTCATCCCCATAATGGAAGGCCATTTTGTAGTACTACATTTTTGTCGCTTGTTGGGCCAGCTGTTCCAGGCTGAATGAGTGAAAGACGGCCAGCTCACATTTCCAGGAGGTTGGAGGCCACGTAGGAACCGTAGGGAGCCCCCAGCAGTGCCTCCACATCCTTGTGCTTCACCAACCAGCACGGTGTCTTGTGGGCCCTCTGAGCTGAGTCCTTCAGTACCTTGGTGACCTCAGTGACCCGTACTTTGCTCGTGCCCCTCCACATCCAGGCTGCTCGCTCCCCTTCAGCTGGGCCTGGGGAAAGCCGGACGTTGGCATTCTGGAACTGTCCTGGGGAAAAGCAAATTGGCACAGAGGTCACCAGTCATTGAGCAGAAAAAGGCAAACCTGGAATTAGCCTGGCGAAGCGCCACCTACAGGGTCAACCGCACCGTTAAACAGCATGAAGTGGCTGCCTTGGGCAGCACAGTGTGTTCTTATGAGATGACATAGGAACGTGACAAAAACTGATTTAAACCCCTGCCTGCTGCGGGAACAGGTGCTCTGCTTTAGGGGTCAAAATGAGAAGACCACAGTCCAATGTCTTGCAAGGGTACCATGGCTGCTCTGCCTCAGGCAGCAGAGTGCCTTGGGCTAGACCGCATTCGCAGGCAAGCTCCAGCTTTTCTGAACCTGCTGTTACCCAGATGTGTTGGGCTACATTTCATTGGCAAGGCTGGAGTCCATTTCTGTGCAAGTTTGCGCCATCCTCTTATGCTAGGCCTACACCTTCCTCTGCCATAAACCCAGGGTTGTTTTCTGAAGGACAGATGCAGATGCTGGAGTTTGTGCTGGCTTGAGTGGAATTGGCCAAGGCAAAATATTTAAGTTCATCTGGGTCCCACTATTGTGATCCTTGGGGCCTAGTGCCATGTGAGAACATGGTGTGGAGAGACTTTAGGATAAGATTTTTAGCAAAATTTAAGGACCTGTTCTTGGGTGTATTCAAGTTCAAAGCAGGAAAGGGTACATTATTTTAAGAGTTTTTGTTGTGATTACTTAAAGTTACACGTGATGCTGGTGTTTGCTGTCCTTGCTGTGGCACTGATCTTGATCACACTTCCTGCGACTACAGTTATCTTAACTTTCCATAATGAGATCGAACAGGAGAAGTTTCAATGGATTCATGCATAATTTGGCCCTAATGTATGACTCCAAAGGAAGTGTTAATTAACTTTGGAGGGCCAGGTGGAGGGAGCATTTTTGACACCCCCGCCCCCAGACAGGTTACCTTAGCCCCTTCCAGTAAATGCAGAAATAATCTGGAACTACCAATTGTAACAATGTGGGGTTTTGTGCTAACACAAGGTGTGTGTGTGGGGGGGGTCTTACAAACTGGTAGCCAACAGCCATATTTACAAGAGGGTTTACTCACCTAGCAAGCCATGTGCTGAAGCTGACAGACCCTTCCCATTTACCACATAGAAGCCGAGGTGGTCCAACTGGAGAGCCGTGGGATGGCTGTAGCAGTGTAACAAAACCAAGAACTCCACCTCGGTCCCAATCCTCACAGTGACGTTGGCCTTGGCCCACATTGAAATTGCCAGGTGGGGCTTGCGGATTACTGCCCGCTGGGTGAAGGGCAGCACCAGAACATCCTCACCGTGCAGCGCCATACCCTCTCGAGTGATATTGACGACATAGCTGGCGTGTGGGCGCTCCACTACCATGGTGATGGCATCAAAGTAGGTACGGGGCCGCTCTTCATGGCCTGGCCTGAAAGGGGCTCCCATTAGATGACCATTGACTGACACACCTGGGGTCAAAAGAAGGCAGCCGTCTGTCCTGACATAATAGTTTTTCCTCTTCCCCTCTTTCTAGTTTACAAAGAGGGGGCAGAATCTAATTGCCCTGGTTTACAACCGCTATAGGATAGACCACCAGAGCTGGAAGAACTTATGTTGTTGGACTGGGGCTCCCATCAGTCTTAGTCAGTAGAGACAGCGGTGAAGGACTGGAGGGCCACACTTTCCCTGAAGCAGACAAAAATTGCATCCCTGTTTGGCCTCCAGCTAGTATCTCGACCAGAGAGCCTCTTTTATTTGGCCCAGTTTTGGCTTCCTTATCCACTGGCTAGAACAGGAAGGCCTCAAACTGGGGTGAAGACAGAATGAGTTTAGGATTTTGGAGAATTTTCCTTATTTTATAGGATGCAGGTTTTAACAAAATGGGGAAAACTAGCAGTGCTTACAAGTGCCCTGTTATAAAATTTTCTGTGCATGCACTGGGGCATTATCAGATATATTTTTAAGGTGCTTCATTTGCTGTGGCTCGGAAGACGTGGGAAGGTATTCTGCGCACAGCACGAATCGTGAAACTTTATGAAAACAGAATTTGCTGGCTCTGTCCTCAGCTTTGAACCCTGTGACCCATGTCAGTAAGAAACCATTACTGCTCTTACCCGTGGCAGGGTCGCTCACTAACCGCAGGGTGTCTCCTGACCGTCCATCAAGAGTGAAGCACAGGTTGCCCAGCGAATGTGGCAGCCTTACTACAAAGTGAGGATCTCCATCAACTGCAAGGGAAAAGGGAACAGCCATCAACTGGGGTGGAGAACCTTTGGCCTTCTGTTTCAGTCAAAAACTCCCATCAGCCCCACCCAAAGCCAGAGATATGAGGAGTCCTTTCCCAAAACATTTGGAGGGACCAAAATGCCCCCCCCACATGTAGATAAACCAGAATTTTTTAAAATACTGTATGGGGTTATATGGGCATATTCTTACCCCAAGAGTTGAAAGTAAAGAAGCCGGTGTTGAGGGAACCTCCCACAGAGTCTGGAAAAAGAGGAGGAGGGAGCAGCATTATATCCCCTGGGTAATTTCTCAACACATTTGGGCACCATATCTCACTCTCGCACAACCACATTGACCTGTGACTGATACCAGAGTGTAGACATTGCCCTGAGAGTTTCCCCCAAAGTGTTCACATAAAATATGATGCAGAAAGTGAGAGAGAAAGTCAGAATGGGATCCTGGCAGGATCAGGGAAGAAGGACCAAAACAAAACCTTTTACACCACAAATTGAATTCTGAGGGGTGGGCGAAGTCTGATTGAAACCAAACTTGACTTTTTTTTCCAGGCCCCATTTCCACCTGACAGAAGATCTGGTTAGACTGGGGTGATTGTCGGCCCTGCAACCCATATTCATGCAACATGCAGAGGTGTACCTGGGTCACTGTCTGGTTCTTCTAAGAACTCTGCAAAAGAAAGTGTGTTCTCAGAAAAATGAGCCATTGCAAAACCCCACAAAATCCATCCGCTTTCCTTTCCAAGGCCTTCCTAGGAGTCTGAGCCCAGTCACTGCCTTAGTGAGTCCCTTTAGGCCATGTGGGTCTCTAGATACTGCTAGACTCCAGCTCTAACACCTGGAGGACCGCAGGCACCTCATCCAGCACTTAAGCGGCTTTCCTTGTCAACAGAATTTAAATGGTCCCTTCGAAACCCAAGACAGGCACAGATCCACAAGGCAGTGCTTCTGTTAAGTGCAGCTCACGGCGCCCAACCTCTGCTTTGCACGATTCAGGAATGGCCAACTACAACCAGACCGACTCTGAGCTCTGCCTGCAAGGATCAACCAATATCATTATGCTGACATTTTTGCCCAATGCACATCACTGGTTTGAATTTATCTTTAGCAACATGGGAGGTTCTGTTGGATACCTGTAAATAAAGCGTGCATTCTACCACCAGTATTTTCTGACTGCTGCTGGGGAAGCCCCAAATGGTAACTGGATCTCCACGTGTATCCCACATCCCATTTAGGGTGGCCACATGTCCTACTTCAATGTGCATTCTACCACCAGTGTTTTCTGACTGCTGCTGGGGAAGCCCAAATTCAATTGGAACTGGATCTCCATGTGTATCCCACATGCCATTTAGGGTGGCCACATGTCCTACTTCACAGGCGACAGTCCTTTATGTTAAGGGCTTTGGAAGATAAGCTTTGTTTGAAGTTATTTGCTTACAGTATTTGAATTGTGGTCCAGTCCCAGCCTGGTTTCATAGAATCATAGAAAAATGAAGTTGGAAGGGGCCTACAAGGCCATCAAGTCCAACCCCCTGTTCAGTGCAAAGGTAAAGAACCATAAAAAAAGAGAGCAGGCCTTGAGGTTCCCCACCTGTAGTCATCAGCAACTGGACAGCAGAATGCCCTGCAGCAACTTGAATCACCATGTCACAGTCTTCCCTGCTATGGAGTGTATTTCTATTTAAATTATAGTAATTCGTTACGCATGTTCCAATTTTTAAATTCTGGGAGAGCAAATTGGGTACCAAACAGACTCTATAAGGAAACCATGTGCTTCCCACTCATGAATGCCGTCTGGACAGTAAAGACCAGATCTTTGTATCTTTCTAAATCTAGACAAAATGGATTATTGTTAACTGAGAGTGAACTCATTCTTTATGTAGGTGAAACAGTAGAATCCTCACACAAGGTGGAGGAAGGGATGGGACCACAAGGCTTAAGGAATCCTTAAGGTTTGGAGGAGTCACAAGCCCCAAATAGAGGGGGAAACAGGCAATAACTGTGTAATGAGAACTGAGCAAAGTGAGTTGGCAAAGATTCTAATGGACTGGTCTGGGAAGCTAAGCAGAAACATTTTCTTACCAGCTCTGTTTGTGTCCTACGCACGGATCAGAGAGGAGTTTAAACAATAGGAAAGAACTGGATCTCCAGGTCAGTCTGGTAAGGAGTATCTCAATGCCAACCCTGATTTGCAGATGGGTCGGCAAGATTGAAATGTGAGAAACTATTTAGAGACTTACTATGTTATCTGATGTTATGACTTCATCAATCCCTGTATGTTCAGAGTTAGTGTACAAAGCAGCTGAATTACCTGAAAAGTCTTCATAATCCAGGCTTCCTGAGGAGACAAACAAGAGTTGAAAGCCAGATCATTTTGAGAGTTAGACAGGTAAGAGGATGGCCTGCAAGTAGGGTAAGGGTGAAGGTCTTCTGGCCCTCCAAGCTCAATCTTCCTCCCTCCCCAACTGCTGGAATCCAGGTGGAAAAAGAAAGTCATTTTCAAGGTGCTTCCTCCTCAGGAGATTAATTTACTCTACCTGGACCAAGACTCCTTCTTCACCTCTCAATTGTCTCCAGCAGGAAGGCAAGCAAGGAGGAATCTGATTTTCCTCATGAGGAAAGAGTCTCCCTTTTCATGGAGAAATGAAAATGGCCTCTGGGAGCTCAAGGAGGAAGGGATCAGGTGACATCACAGGACCCATGTGCTTACAACCCAGGGTTCAATCCCAGGTAGCCGGCTCAAGGTTTACTCAGCCTTCTGTCCTTCCAGGGTCGGTAAAGTGAATACCTAGCTCACCTGGGGGGGAAATGTGTAGCCTGCATAATTAACTTGTAAACCGCCCAGAGAGTGCTTGAAGTGCTATGGGGCGGTGTACAAGTAGCATGCTTTGCTTTGCTTTGAAGAGATGGGGCTCTGCCCACTGGCACCATATGGCCATCAGCGGCAGTCCAGGTGACAGGGCAGTCCAGCTACGGGGAACTAAGTGTTCCCTTATTCCAAGTGAATAGTATGGGAACCAGTCCAGGCAAAATCCAGGACACTGGACCAGTGTGGCAGTGTGGGATGCAAAGTTACTGGGAAGGAACAGGCTGAAGCAATATACCCTGGGAGCATGATGGTGGCAGGGCCTGTTTAGATAGGATCTGGCAGTAAGGAAGAGAGAGAGCGAGAGAGCGAGAGAGAGCTTCATAGGTTCCTGACTGGTTGGACAATAGGAGGTGTCGTAATTTATTTATTTATTTATTTATTTATTTTTGGACTACTAGCTCTCAGAATCCCACCTTCACTGTGGCTATGCAGGCTATGGAATGATGGGATGTATAATTCCCTCTCTGTGGAAGAGGGGAGGCATGTGGCTCAATATGAGGTTGAGATATGGGGGTGGTGGTGGGACCACAGGAATACAGGGCCGTCCCCCCTGTTCCTAGATACCTACCTGGGTGCTGCCTGGTTGTCACAAAGCTATACACGGCTGGTGGGTTCAACGATTCAACGTATTCCGCATCATGGTCACCGGCTGAGCGCAACTCAGACTCGCCCGACAAAAGGAGGAGACTGATGTCAGAGGCAGATGTGGTGGTAATAGTGCTGGGAATCCTGCTGGGGCCCTCCACCTCCATGTCCTGAGTCAGTGGGGAAGTGACCCTAGCTGCTGAGCCCCAAGGCCCCGTGCTGTTCTGAGGTGGCTTGTCTGTGTGCATCTCCACGGCTGCTTCACCTTGGGGAGCCGCCTTACCTGTCCAGGGGGTGCTCCCCAGCTCCACCCTGGGCGTAACCACCTGCCCGTTGAGTTGGTGCTCAGGGGCTGGTGCCTCGGGCTGCTCCCTGTTGTCATAGTTACCTTCCGGCACCTTGGCTTTGTCAGGTTGGTGCGCTGGAGAAGGCACTGTGTTCGGGATCCCGGCCGGCACCTTGGGAACAGATGTTCCTCTGGTCTCCATAAAGGAGTGAGGCTGAATTGTGACCTTGAGTCTCCCAGCTTGGGTGGGGCTGGGCTTGTGGGTTTTGAAATGGGGTGGTTTTGTGGTCTTAAGGGCCACTGTGGCTCTCGGGGGTTTCATGGAGCCGTGGCTCCCAACAGGAGTCACAGAGACAGAAGGCGTCAGGCCAGGCACGAGTGTGCTTTTGGGCACTTTGGTGCGGCCGAGGACACTAGGTGTTGGGGAAGTCCAGGGGACGGTGAGGAGAGCGGTCATTGCAGACGTGGGCGTAGAGGTGGCCCTGACAGCTTTAGTGCTTCTGGAGACGGCGAGTGGAGGCAGTGAGTCGGTAGGACCAGCTGGCCCTGCGCTTCCTTTGGGTGCTTTTGTGGCTCCGGCTGCAGGGGTGCTTCTGGCCACCTTAGAAAGCGCTGGCAGAGCAGACGTTCCCACCGCTTGGGGAGCAACCTTGGGTGCTCTGGTTCCCACGGGAGGAGAAGGAGGTGCTTTCGTAGGCCGGCCGTTCTCTCTGGCCTCCTCTGGCCTCACCACGATCAGGGAGGTAACCGGGGTGACAAAGTTGTACTTGAGTGAGAGATTGGTGGCCTTTTCCGTCAGCAGGCGCCGGGCGGCTGTGTCGTTGGCTCGAAATCGGGCCTGCAGCAGGTCTTGAATGGTGAAGTAGGCCCACAGTCTCTGAACAAAGGGACCGATCTTGTTGATGTCGCCAGAGCAGCCAAAGGAAGCTGTTTTCGTGGCATTGATTGAAATGTCATTTTCCAGACTCAGGGGACCCTCTTGACCGTGCCCAGTGGTGCGTACTCGCAGCTCTGACACCCCCGGCTTCACCCGCCCAGCCACGACCAGCTCCGAGCCTTCAAAATAGTTGGGGAAGAGGTTCCGAGTGAGGTCCTGGGCCACCCCGTCCAGGTAGGCCAGCTCCACATCATACAGAAGAGGGCTGGCAATCTCGTCATAGAAACCCTTGAGCTGCAAAGTGGCGTCGGCGTCCTCGTATATGCGCCGCGCCACACCACGGTTCTCTAAGGAGAGGCGTCTCAGGAGCCCATAGTCAGCATCATCGCCGAAGGCCAGGCCGAAAAGGGAGATGGTACCCCTCAGGGCCTTCTGGGCATTGGACAGGATGCGGCTGCCAGCCGTTACCCCAGAGGTGGGTTCGCCGTCGGTCAGGAAGATGACCAGTGGGATTCTCTGCTCCCTCATAACCTTTCCTGCCATTGGAGAGCTCTGATTGAAGACGGAGGCAGCTGCAAGAAGAGCTGCATTGATGTCAGTCCCTAAAGGAACAGAAGGCGAAGAGAGATCAGAAGGCAAAGCACGAGGGTTCCCCGGGAAGCACACGGTGGTCTTAAAGGAATGGGTAGATCTAGCTGGCTGGGACCGACATTTCCCGAGCATCCCTGCTTGCTTGTTAGCTTGGTTACATTTATATCTGGTGGCTCCTCAAATGAGCTCAAGGCAGCCTACAAGGCTCTCCTCCCTGTTTTACCTTCACAAGAGCTGGGCAAAATAGGTCAGGTTGAGAAAGAGACTAACTAGGCCAAGTCACCCAGTGAGTTTCGTGGCTTAGGAGAGATTTGGACCTCACTCTCTCAAAAACAGGTCATCAAAAAGGAGGATGTGAGTTCCAAAAGGTGGATGTTGTGGTCAGTGTCCAGCCGCTCCAGTTTCAACCTTCCTGAGTAAGAACGTGGACTTGAGAGACCAAAACTGGACCATTCCCAAGGGCCATATTATTCATAAGGCTGACTAGGCTGAAGCCTAAGGGCCCCTCCATGTCTTTGGCTAAGGCGCCCATGGGCTCCAACAGTTAAAGACACTTTGTACTCTGTTCCGTAGCAATACATGCACACAGATGTTTATCCCTATTGCATTACTTTAATACTAGCACAATAAAAATATTTTTTAAAATGGTGGATAGAATTGTTGAGAATTTAAATGGATCTGGGGCAATGTAGTGCCATCTAGAACCCACTGTACCAGGATCAAGCTGTCAGCTCTAGACGGATGAAAGACTGAAGTGCCGGAGGGCCCCCGAAACACCCTGAAAGCCTAGGGGTCCACGTCATGGGTTAATAGGGCCCTGAGCATTGCTTGTCAAGGATTTCAGGAGCAGACGCTGCTCCCCAATCCCATTCCACCCTGTAGCGATTCCTCTCTGGTCAGGACTCACATCCATCAGCTTCCATCTTGCTGACATAGTCTTTGGCCTTCCGAATATTTTGAGGTGTTGCTTGAATGGACTGGCTGGGCTTCCACACATGCACCATGTCAGAGAAAGTAACGATGTTGAAATAGTCATCATGGTGGAGGTCGCTGAGTATGACGTGCATGGCCTTCTTGGTCTGGGGAGCAGAAAGCAAAGAAAAGGAGTCGCCTTTCTCCAAAAGCTCCCCTTCCTCCTCCTTCCCCAACCTGGAACGATTAAGCTGATGTGTTGGGTTACTGTTCCAACCACTAAGAAAGGAAAAAAACCCAGCAAGCAGCCGGTTGGGCAAGGCTGCCTCACAGGAAACATTTGAGCTGCATTTGGTTAAATATACAGTATATTGAAAAATCTTTCTCAAGCAGTCAGGGGCTATTGTTTCTAACTTTGTGTTCACAGATCTACTCAAAGTCCGTGTTGCAAAATAGGCTCTTGCGTGCACAAATGGGGAAGGGCCAGCCTAGGACATTTCAATGTTTGAGATAGAACAGCAAATCATGTCCCAGTCTTGAAGTCCCAGGGCGTAGTACAGAGTTTAGCATCTGAGACAGAAAAGTCCACATACATCTCTTTCCCACCCAGGCAGCGAAAATACAGTAAAAATAAAGTTCACAATGAACCAGTTTGCTGTCCTCTGAAGATGCCGGCCACAGAGACTGACGAAACGTTAGGAAGAACCACCTTCAGAACACAGCCAAGAAGCCCAAAAAACCCAGCAGTAAAAATAAAGTTCACAATGAACCATTTGCTATCCTTTCATGACACCAAATATTGCTGCCCTAGGTGATCAATACCTTAGCTAACGTAGGGTTGACCTAGGTAGAAACCTACAAAACAAAGAATAGTCTTGCTGCTCTGCTATTTTTTAGTCTCCCAAAAGACTTGAAAATTGCTTTGTGTACATTTGGCCACCCTATGCTCCTCTCTCCCCATTCCTTCTGGATAGTGACAGGTGGACACACACATTCCCACCCCACTCTCAGTTCTCGTTATGTCAGACTCTCTCACTTTCCATTTTCAGTCTCTACACCTCTTTCATCTCCTCTTCTCAGTGTTCACCTGTTTCATTTTTGTGCCATACATGGAGCCGCTGACATCAATAACAAACACCACATCCTTCTGAACTGGAGGTAGTCCCCTCGGGGCAAAGTAATGAACAAAGTAGCCATTGTAGATCTGGAAAAGAGAAAGGAGTCCAAGGCATTTATGGGGTGGAGGGGAGCAGGAGCAGCAAAGTTGATTGAACATTTTGTTCATTAGGCAAGGAATATAATTCAGCCTTCCCTAATCTGATGCTTTCCAGGTGTGTTGCAGTACAACTCCCATCATCTCCAGCCAGCATGTTGTAAAATGCATATGAGAACCTCAACTTCGGGAAAGCTGCTGTAAACTATCATATAATTTCCGACCTCCACTCCAACCACCTCCAACATGTGATTATGGATTTGTCCAGTACAGTTGCGCAAGCCACCCATCCGTTTCCACAATATTAATATTACAGTTTCATTGTACTCCAAAGCATCCGGAGAACCATCTGTTTGTTCCACAATTAGTGGAGCATTTGAGCTCCCTGAAGCATCTATTTCATTGTACTCCAAAGCATCTGGAGAACCAAAGGACCATGGCCTGTTCATTTTACACCATCTGTTTGTTCCACAATGAGTGGAGCATTTGAGCTCCCTGAAGCATCTAACTTACTGCTGGACTCGACAGACAGTTGGTTTGATTCAATAAGCCAGTTCTTATGTCCTCAGGTCTCCAGGAGGACAACCCTTCTGCATCACACCATTTTGCCTTTGCCTTCCTAAAGCAGTCCTGATGCCCAAAGGGTTCGTCCTGTTCCCATTCATTGCTGCATAACAGCCTCTCCTCTCACCTGTACATCCCCTGCAACATCCGGCATGGCCACGTCATACTGTACTACAAAATCGCCCATGATTCCCAAGCTGGAGAAGGCTGCCTGTTCTTCGGGTGTTGGACTGAATGTAATCCAAGCGCAGTGGGTTCCCCTCTCTACCTGGGTAGAGGGTGGCATGTCTGCATCGCCTGGGATGAAACAAGGAACTCATGAATGGGGGTCAAGGTCTCACACATGCAAAAGATCAGGGAGGGCCAGCCTTAGCATTAGGTGGACCAAGGCAACCACTTTGGGCAGGAGATGCTTGGGGAGCAGGGAGACTGCTCCCCAGCCACTCCCTCTGAGTTCCTCAGCTAGTCTTCCTCATGAAGAATAGATCTCAGTCAGTCACACAGCCTGTCTTGTGCTCACTCAACTATCCTGCTGCCCTCAGATGTGGAGAAGGATCCTATCTTGTTGCAATTGAAGTAAGATTTAACTGTTCATCCTGCCAGCCTCTCCACATAGAGTGGGATACAGGGAAGATGGGTGAGCCAGCCACCATTTTGTTCCTTCCCTCAAGCAGCAAAGTGTCTAGGCCAATGGCTCCCAAGCTTAGGTCCCCAGATGTTTTTAGACTACAAATCCTGTCTAGCACAGCCAGTGGTAAGACTTCTGGAGTTTTAGTCCAAGAACATCTGGGGACCCAATGATGGGAACCACTGGTCTAGAATGCAGATACACAGAATATAACAGAAGGTTAGAATTCAAGTTATGTTTGATCCATACCACAGAGAGAACCTTTGAAGCCCAATGTCTTTCATTGGTTCTGACCAGAATCGCAAATCAAAGGAAAGTGATGAGCAGGCTGGTGTGAGCCACCCTGACGTCTTGAGTTCTGCAGGGTGGCCCTGATCCTCCTCCTTCTCATGACACCCAAAGCAGAATGCCAAGTCTTAGGGATCCCTGTTTGTCTTTGCTGAAAGACTAAAAGGAAGATCTCTGGTGTACCTGGTGCCTAGATCCAGCTTGTAACTCACTTCCAGAGTTACGGTCACTATGAACTGCAGAAAGGGTGTCCCAACCCTGAGGGGAACTTGGAGTCTGCCTCAGCTTGGGCAAGCCATCCGTGAAAGGAGGGATCGCAGCCCTGACCCCAAATAGATCCCTTGGAATCTTGCTGACCACCAAAACAGCAAAAGTGATACACATCTGTTTGTGGTGGCTAAATCCCAGTTCTGGTTATCTGAAAGGCCCACCACCAACTGGCCCCACTCCATCTGGGAGGCCCCTCTGTACTGCAGGAGGATAGATCCATACCTCGGAGGGTGTTGGTCAAGAGTCGGCTTGTGCGGATGGGCAAAACGTGGACGTAGTCGATGCCAGTCCGCTCAGAGATGCTCACCTCAACGCTGAGGTTTCTCACCACTTGCTGGGGCCGGATGTTGATGGCATGCTGATACTTGCCCAAATGCCGCTGCAGTAGCTCCTCATAGGTTAGCTCAAAGGCTACTTTGCCCCCAGCCTCCACGCTGGTGGACACCCTGAATTTTTCCGTTTCTCGATCCCTGGGAAATGTTACTCAGTAGCAGGTTATCAAGTATGATGTCCGCTATCTGCTAAGGCAGGGTTGGCAGACCTGGGACCATCCAGATTTTGGCTTCGGATTTCCATCAACCCCAGACCAGCCTGGCAACTTGTCAGCTGTATTGGGCACTATAAGTAAACAATATCTGGGAGGCCATAGGTTTCCGCCACCATGCATTAAGCCAATTCCTTCACATGTTATCTGTCCTTGCAATCAAACTTGCTCATTTTTTGTTTAAACTCCCTGCCCCCAAATCACTTTTGAGGAGAACCTAGTTGTGTGGACATTATAATCCAACCAAAGACAAGGCAGTCTGTAATCTGGCAGGCCCTCAGTGATCTCCTGAAAATGAGATGACCAGGAGGCCCTTGAGTGCTTCAAAATGGATTTCGAACCTCTGCTAATAAGAGGATTCACCAAATGAGGCTGCTTTAAAAAAATAATAATTCACTGTATAACATGCTACGGTCTGCCTGTCCAGCAAAGACATTCTCCACTGACTTCAATCCCATGGGGGAATCAACTCATTTATTTATTTAAGATATTTTTACACTGCCTTTCTTCATAAAAGGGCCCAAGGTGACTTACATCATTGAAAAAGATAGCTAAAACTGATAAATCATTCAAATAGGAAAAAAGAGAATTAAATAAACATTGTATTTAAAATGTTAAATAAAAACATTATTAAAACAGATTAAAGGCAACAAAATACTAACCATCACAATCTTAAAACTTTTCTTAGACTAAGGAAAAGCCTGCCTGAAGAGAAAGGTCTTCACCTCTTTGTGAAAGGACAGCAAAGATGGGGCCAGCCTGGCTTCCCACGGGAGGGAATTCCAGAGTCTGGGATCAACAACAGAGAAGGTCCCCTCCCACGTCCCCACCAAGCGCACCTGTGAGGGTGGCGGAATGAGAGAAAGGCCTCCCCTGGTGATCTTAATCCCCAGGCAGGCTCATGGAGGGAGAGGCAGTCTTTCAGATAGCTTGGACCAAAGCTATTCTCAGCCTCTCATGCCTTCCATCTCACCAATTACTGTACTTAATCAAAGAATTAAGTCCCACTATGATAGAAGCAAAAGCCTTTTTTTAAAAATGAAAAGGCTATTTATTATGTTCCACCAGCATTCTGCTGTCATTAATAATAAACTGATGGGCAGTGGAAATGGACAATGAGGGAAATCCATGCGAGTCTAGTGTCATCCGCAGCAACTGCTCACAGATAGATAATTCTTAGTAGGTAAGACACCTTTCAGGGGGCACTGGGATTAAAAGAGAGTGGATTCTTTGTAAGGGCTATAAAAACCTTGGTCAATATCTGCTTACAGAAAGCAAGAGCAATTGCGTAAACTTCACCACCACTCCAGACAGCTCTCTCTCCATCACATGGCCCATCTGGCAACCAGGGCAAAAACAGGCACACGATGGAGCAGCCCTCAGAAGGAGGGGGGAAGCCCTACCGCTCTGCATTTCTGCAATAAACTATTGGCCCCTTGTGTCATGCTTAGACTTCCACTATTTCCTGTATGCGCCACTGGGAGAGAATGGCCAGTGTGAAGCACAGGCTGATGTACGGGGGCTCTGCGTCAGCAAAAGTGCTTGGACTCATGCTACACCTTTCCCCTTTTGGAACAAGTGTTTTAGAAATAAGAAATCATTGATAAGGACAACATTGGTTGGTAATAATTAACCATAACATCTCCTCTCATGCAGTAGCCAAGAGACATTCACAGGTAAAATAACAGCTCTTCTTCTTTGTCTCTAGGCTGATAAGAAAATAAGTTACATTCCTTTATTTAATCAGTGAATGTATTGAGAATGGATGCCAAAATCCTAACCCTGCTCCTGTGGCTCTAAATTATATATCTCTGTTTTTCTTTCACAGTACAGTTTTGTGGTAATTAAGCCTCTCATGGAGGTTGGTGTGAGTTACATGCTGACTGAGACCTCCTGATTGAAGCCAAACGATGCCTAGATGTGAAGAGAGCACAGTATCTGAGGGAGGCGTGCTTACTTGGTGCCAACATGAGCTGCTGTCTTTCCTTGCCTGCGAGCTTCATCATACATCTTCTTAGCCTGGTGCTTCTCCTTCACTTCAGCCACATAGACCTTCTCATTCACAATTCTAGTATGCAGGGAGAGAATAAGACGTACATCCTCCTCAGGATTGATATCATGTGGGGGGTGGGATCATAAGGAAACTATCATGGCTATTCTACAATTAATATCTGTGATTAGGGAAAAGGTAGAGAAAACAACAACCATCTTAATCATCCTACATGACATGTTCTTACAATGCAGGGTAGGGAAAACAGTGCTTCCATCTTCCTACCTGGCTTAGTCCACCTGACTTAAGGTGAAACTAGACAGCCAATTGTCCTGGGCGTGACTGGGCAAAATGGGGTCCCTTTGAGATGCGGTAAGCCATTTGGGGCAAGCCTTGCATTCACACATTTTATTTATTTATTTTATTTACAAAAATTTTTTAGCTGCACCATTGCCAGTGGCTTAAGGATCAGGAGGGTTTGGGGGCAGGAAGCCACCCCTAACCTCAAGCAACCTATTTAGCCAAATTTGTCCTTTTTAAGGGAAGAGAAAAAAACAAACAAAAATCTCCCACTAGGTCCTCTCCTGTCTTCCTCCCCATGACAGAGTAGGAGAAAGGGGTCATTAACAAAAATTATTTGTAATCCTGGACTCCGCTGAATGGCCTTGGCCCTCAAATCAGTCAGCACTGGATTTTAAGGGGAAAAGGAGAAAAATCTCTCCTCATCTTCTTCTGTCACAACAAACTGATCAGTTACATTTATATCCTGCCTTTCTTCCAGTGAGCTAAAGGCAGCACACATAGCTGTCCACCTCTCACTCCACATCACAACCACCTTGTGTGAGATAGAAAGGTCAGGCTGAGAAAATAATTGCCCAGCCCATGGTCGAGGTGTGAATCGCACAGCTCAGTAGAGGCAAGAATCTTAATAATTCAAGTCTCACTCCAGTGCTTGAACCCCCTACAGGCATGCCAGTTCTCACATTGGGAGGCCACACCCACAACATTTTGTCAAAGTATGTGTTGTGATAAGATTTGATATACCTGGAAAGAATCAGAGAGATCAGAATCCCAAAGGAACAATCTCTGTCAGATGGAAGTACATAATGGTGGGGCATCTGTCCCTCACCTCCCTCAACAAAATGGCTTATAGATGATTGTATCCTTGAGCAAGTGTGGGAAACAGGATACAGTTGCTTTTCAGAGGGCCTCTGGAGGGTGTCTTCCAACTCACTTGACTCCCAGCATCTAGAGATGAAATCCTGGACGGAGAGAGGATCAGAACTCCTCACTCATGCCTCACATCTTGATTTCTAGATTCTCCAGTATTATGCCTCTACAGACTGGAAGAAAAACCCTGTCTTATTTTCAGGGAAACATGGTAAAATCATAGAAAAGTGAAGTTGAAAGGGGCCTACAAGGCCATCAAGTCCAACCCCCTGCTCAATACAGGAATACAATCAAAGCATTTCTGCCAGGTAATTATCTAGGTTTTTCTTGAATGCCTCCAGTGTTGGAGCACTCACCAACTCCCGAGGTAACTGGTTCCATTGTCATGTCTCATGTCATGCCCTTTACCTCACGGATGGATCAGTAAGGGAGCAGCCCTTCTACTTGTCCAATATTTTAAGACCTGCTTCAGAGACTCCAAGTTTCTGTCACCAGCAGCTGAGAGAAAACGTGGAGGCCCTCACCAAGACTTTTTGCTCAACAACAACAACAACAACAACAAGAAATACAAAACCCCACATTAGGGCTTATTTTCAGGGGATGGTTTATTTTATTTTTTTCATGTACAACAATCTACATTTATTCAAATACAGTCATGTCATCTTCTTCTGGTTGCTGCACAATGCTGCACAATGATGGAGGGCAGGGTTTTACTTAACTGGGGCTTATTTTTGGGGTAGGGCTTACAAGCATCCTGAAAAATTATACTAGGGCTTATTTTCAGTTAGGTCTTATTTTCAGGGAAACAGGGTATGAGCACGGACAGTAATGACACCACTTACATGACACAAAGCAAGGGTAGAGAATGTGTAACCCTCTATGTGTTCCAAATAGTGTTTAAATATGACTAGAAAACAACATGGAAAGTGACCACAGCAAATCAGCCGACTGGCCAACCCCAATCCAAGGGCAATTCGAACATCCAAACCAGTATCTCAAAACAACTGGAATGTTTTAATTATGGATGCACTGCCCTGAGTCCAACTGCTGTTGTTAGCTAAAGTAGACCCACTGAATAAATTGTTCTATGTTACCTTAGTGTAAGTCCCAGTAAGTCAATGGGTCTACTGTAGATTTGAACAAAGCATTCACTAAATCCCCAATCACCCACCTGCACTTGTGCAATCAAGCCACTGCCGAAAGAAGGAAAACTGGGTGTGTTGAGTTGGAATCTTCTGACAGCAGTAAAAACCAGTGTTGTGGGGGGGGGGCAATGCAACAAATCTAGAATCTGTCAAACCCAGAGTCTCTGGGGATGATAGCAGTAACATGTTACCACATGTCAGACTTCAAGTGAGGAATCTGAATCTGGCAGCTCAACAAAGCTTTTGGTTATCCTGGACTGTTGTTCTCTAAATAGCTAATTCTTTAAATATCAAATTCTTAAGGAGTAGACGGGCTCTAGATGAGCTTCCAGATGAAAAAAGCTGGTCTTCCCTTGGAGCTCTTCCAGGTTCTGCAAAGCCTAACTCGGCCACCTGGACTTTGTTCTGTTTTCGCGTCTCATTCCATCACATCTCCATAGGGGAGCTGCCAATGGATAGGAGAGGAGTGACAATATTGGTGTCACAGAGGAAGAAAAAAGTGCCAAAGCAGAATGGCAGTTGAACATTAAGAAGACAAAATTAATGCCTACAGAAGAACTATACAGTGGGGTCTTGACTTAAGAACGGCTCGAGTTAAGAACATTTTGACTTAAGAACCACTATCATAGGAAAATATTGACTTGACTTACATACTTAGATTTGAGTTAAGAACTGAAAAAAACCCACGTGGGAGGCAGGGAAAGTGCAAAATCTGAACTTTCAGTTAACTGTTGGCCAGTGAAAAGGGTGCCTGTCTGCTTCCTCACTCCTCCCAGCGTTTAGAGAGTGGATTGGGAGACAGTCTTCGGACTGCCTGGTACTGCCTGGACTGTATTTTCCCTGCCTTCCCTGAACCTTTCTTGACCTAAGAAAAAAAGAAACAAAGTATCCCCCTCTAGTGGTCGAAGGCGGAATAGCAGCTTCCCATTAGTTTCTATGGACGGAAAAGAGCAGATACGGATCAAATGGTTTTCAATGCATTCCTATGGGAAATGCAGATTTGACCTGAGCTGAACATTAAGAAGACAAAACTAATGCCTACAGAAGAACTATACATTAATTTTGACAATGCAAAAATTGTTAAAGATTTTATATACTTTGCTTCAATCATCAATCCAAATGCAGATTGCAGCCAAGAAATCAGGCTGAGATTTGGAAGGGCAGGAGGATTTTAAAAAGATAATCAAGTGTGAGGAAGTATCACTGGAGACCAAGACCAAGATCATTCACATTCTTGTATTTCCAGTCACTATGTATGGGTGTGAAAGCTAGAGAGCAAAGAAAACTGACTGGAAAAAAATGATTTGTTTGAAATGTGGTGCAGGAGGAGAACTTTTTGGATGCCCTGGGTTGCCAGAAGGATGAACAAATGGGTCCTAGATAAAATCAATTCTGAATCTTCTCTGGAGAGAAAAATGTGGAAATGGAGGCTTATTTTGGGCACATCATGAGAAGGCAAGATTGTTTGGAAAGGACAAAAAATCCTGGGAAAGGTGGGAGGCAGCAGGAAAAGACGAAGACCAAATACAGGATGGATTGCCTCCTTAGAGGAAGCCACATGCTTGAAGAACTGAGCGATGCTGTTGAGGACAGGACATTTTGGAAATCACTCGTTCATAGGGTCGCTGTAAATCAGAGCCGACTTGATGGCACAGAACAACAAGAAGAAAACAAAGAAGAAATGGCAATTAAAGCCATATAGGTTTATGGTATGGATACATTAGAAGGACAGGAGCAAAATGTTTGCTTACAGTTTGTGATGCAGAGAGAGTTGGAACATAAATAGCCTGCTGTGGCTGTCAGTAACTCTACAGAATCTCAGGCAGAGGTGGGAAAAATACTTTTGGGAATGCAACTTCCAGGATACACCAGCCAGGGGACTGCATTTGGTTGAGGTACTCTGGAAGTTGCAGTCCAAATAATGATTTTCATCACTTCCTGCCTGTACCTTTTCACAGCAGAGACCAAGCTTGAACCTAGGATCTTCTGCATGCCAAGCAGATGCTTCACTGCTGAGCTGTTCTTGCTTTCCCTCCCTCCACTGCCATCTCTGTGACTTATGGGACCATACTGTGGACTTCCTGTTGACCTTTCCTATTCCAGACTTACATGGTGAAGTTGGAGATGAAGGCTGAACTAGGGAGGTCCAAGTCAAAGACTGCTTCCTTTGCTTCATCATGGGGGTTGCTCATGACAATCCACACTTGGGTAGAGGCATAGCGGGACACGATTGCTGAGCGCACCACGAAGCTGGAAATGGTGAGCTAGGGAGAGAAACCAGGACAATGTTCAGAACTTGTTGGTGCATCTAACTGGTAGGATATTTAAAAGTAAAAGACTGCTGCACTTCAGTACTATTAAGGTCGCTTTAATAGGTTCCAGTTCTGTCCTAGGCAGAAAGACAATCATTATTATTCTGCAGCTGAAGAGCTGAAAAATCACAGAAAGCCAAATACATGCCTTTAAAAGTAGTAGAAGAAAAAAGGATATGAGTTATCCTGATTACATGCACAGTACAAGCGGTGTAAGTTTATGGCTGTTGTTCTGTGCTGTCAAGTTGCAGCTGGTTTATAGCAACCTTAATGGGGTTTTCAAGGTAAGTGAGATATTTAAGGAGTGGTTTTACCAGTTCCACAGCTCCAGTGAGTTTCCATAGCTAACTGGGGATTCAAACCCGGGCCTCCTGAGTCCTAATGTGCCATTCTATCCACTACCACACTGGGTATCTTGTAACTTGATTTGCTACAGTTCAAATTGAGTGGTTTGCAGTGAGAATGAAAACTCAGTAATCAGAAGTGAATATACCCCACTGAAAGGTTGCAAGCTTCTGTGTTATATAAATGTTGCTAAGCTTCTTAAGATAACAAGATCCCATCAGACTTTGATGGCATTTATAAATTATTTTACGTTACCCTATTCAGACTACTCTCCGTCCTATTCAATTAGTTAAGCAATATTGCATTCCATTCCCCCATCTCATTCTGCTACTTGTGTCCAACAGGCTGTAAACTGATGTGGCTCAAGCTTTATTTCAAAATTGCCGAACCAAAACAGGTATATTTTATATTCAATACCATCTCCACAAAGTCTTCAAAGGAAAACCTAGGAATAATGAACTATTTCTAGAGTAAATGAATGTTTTTGGCAGAATAGAGCTAAAACAATGCTATGGGGTGTCAGGATCTGGCCCGTGCCACCCTGGCAGCTGCAGGATCAGGGCGAACCTGAGCCAGGAGCGACCTGGTGTTTGCAGGCTCAGGCCCTGGCCTGCCTAACAGCTGCTGGGCCACTCATGGGGCTCACCTGGGAACCTGGAGGGAAGGCCTATTTAAAGAGTGGTTCTCCCTCCCACAACTTGCATCAGCACCAAAGGTCTTTCGGCCATGCTGTGGTGTGTTTGCTGCTCCAGAGTTCTCATACTCCTGCCTTGGTCCCTGCTCTTTCTTCCAGCGCTCCTGCACCTGCTTCCGTTCCTGTTCTTGCCTTGGTCCCTCTGCTCTTGCTACTGCTTGCCCTCTCGCCTCTTGGTGCCTTGTCCCTGCTCCTGGTGCTCCTGCCTCTGCTTAGTCATGACCAGCTGCACAGTGAGTGTTGTGGGACTTGATATTCTGTGTGATGGACCGGGTCCTGGTGTGGGACTGCCTGGTATATCCTGGACTGTGACATAGGGAAGGCTAGACATCATATGCCAATCTAAATAAAGATGTCATTTTAATTCCTTCTTAAAATCAGTCAGAGACTGCAACTTTGAAAGAAGTCTATTTTATAGTCTGGGAACCCACACAGGAGAAGACCATTTTCCACATGCTGAAATTGGGCTTTGCCTGCAGGTATTAAAGAGTAGAGAGGCTTATAACAAGAGAGAGAGGGACCCTCAGATAGCCAGGCTCCAAGCTGTTTAGGGCTTTATCGTTTAAGACCAACACTTGAATTGAGCTTGGCAAGCAACTGGCAACTGGTGCAGGTTTTTCAATATTGGGATCATAATACAATCAGGACACCATGCAGCAGTTTCTAGCCTAATTATTGCATGTTTCACCACCTGAAGATCCTGAATCCTTTTCAAAATTGGCCCCACACAGAGTGCATTGAACTTGTCAAGATGTGATGTAATCAAAGCATGGATGATGTTTGCCAAGTTCGGTCAATTCAGGAAAGGTCACTGATGGCACATTAGGTGGAGTTTGCAAAGGCACCACTTATTGCCATGGCCCCTTGGAAATCCAGCAACAGGGCAGAGTCAAAGAGCACTCCCCAACTACAAACCAAACATGCCAGGGGAGGCACAACCCCTTCTAGAATAGATTGGATCCCAGTTCCCAAATCTGACTTTCTATTGATCTCTGTCTTGTAGGGTCTTGGTCAAAGACAGGGCAAAGCAAAAGCACGTTGGCATCCAGGCTATAACATGCTTAAGAGCAAACCAATCTGCTGGACTTTAATGGCCTTTTGGAGCCCTTGGATCCACTCTATGGCCTACCAGCAATTACTGGGAGAGTCTGGAAGACTCTCAGGAGCAAGACATTGATGCCATATCATAATTCCAAAGCTGTGGACATGTGAGGAAAAAGAACTGTTCATACTAATGTACGTTCACTTCAGTCTGCGTTGGACAAATTATTTTGGTTTAGTTTTCTAACTGGGCAACTGAACACTATCACAACTTTGTCTCCATATCTGAGATGTCAGGCACCTAATATTGAAAGGTTAGCATGCTGGGAGAGGTGGTCATCACAGCACATCCCCACCTCTCCTTTTTTTCCCCCAGTTTGGTCATGTGAGCCCAAAAAGGTTTGCCACCACTGGTCTAAGTGATTGTGAGAGGCAATGTTGCTGGCTATATTTATAAGCACAAAATATATATGAGTAAGTCTAAGTGATTGCGAGAGGCAATGTTGCTGGCAATATTTATAAGCACAAAATATATATGAGTAAATGTCTAGTCATGTGCAGACACCATACCATCATGCCTGGCCATAACGGGAGATCATCCATGATTTTGCTGTGAAAAAGCCTCCCCCCCTAAATTGAATGTGAATTAGTCTATTTATAAAATATTTGCAGTTGCATTGCTCCATGCAAGTAAAAAAAAAAAGGAGCGTACATCTTTATGATGTAATAATAATTGCAAGCCAATTCTGATTTATGGCAACTCTTTCCAGGGTTTTCTGGGTAAAAATACTCAGAAGTGGTTTATCATGTACTTCTTCTTTGGGGGGATCCTGGGACTGAGCAGCTTGTCCAAATCCACACAGGTTTGTTTGTTTGTTTATACCCTGCCTATCTGGTCATTGCGACCACTCTAGGTTGGTTCTTCTCCCTGGAGGCACAGTGGGGGAATCAAATTCCTAACATCTGGCTCCTCAATCAGATACCTAAACCACTGACCTATCCAGCCAGCTCACATCATTGTTAAGTCCAATTTAAAAGTTGCAAAATAAATCGAGCAAACTTTGTAGGACTCATCTGGGTGGATGGTGTGTTCAGCAAATATAGGAAACGGTGGAATGGAAAAGTGAAGCAAAAAAAAAAAAGCCACAATGTGGTATAGTTTTGCAGATGTAGAAATCCTAATTTCATAACTGTCATAGAAGCTTTTATTTCAGGTCTCCTACCGCAGGATGTAAGGGACTGCGGTACGTGTGAGGGATGGAAGCTTGTGTAAAAGTTTTGCACTGCCCATCACCATGATGCTTAAGAACCAACCAAAGGAGACCCAAGGTCAAAAGTACCTGTAGACAGAGAGATAGCAAGGATACTTCTCCCTGTCAAGCATGTTCATGAACTACTTATAGGCTGCTCTTTCCCTCAGTCTCTTCTTGCTTCTTTTCCAAGGTTGTTATGCGTAGCTCAGATAGGTCTGAGGAAGTGGACGATCCACAAAAGCTCACAATGAAATATAACCGTTAGTCTTTAAGGTGCCTCCATGTTTTTGTCTTTTTACTTTTATTTCGTTTTCACATATTTTTAATGTTACGTTGTGTGCTATCAAGTCCGAACTGACCCTAATAGGCTTTCAAAATAAGTGGGATATTTAAAGAGTGGTTTGACCAGTTCCACATACTGTACAGCCCAGAGAGGTTCCATGGCCAAGCCAAGTGTCCTGAATCCTAATGTGTCCCTCTCTGTTCAATACACCACTCTGGCTTTTTACTTGTATTTGTAATATAGATACATTAACGTGTAAATATTTTTCTATTAGATGTAGGATGATGCACACATTGTGCTGTACTGTGGTTACAAACGTTCTGGTCTGTCATTGAGCAGAGGAGATATCTGCTGAAATGGCCTGTTCTGAATATGCTTTTCTTCTAGCAATGTGCTATACGGCCTATTTCTGTGTACTGTATTTGGAGTCTCTGGCTAATTGACAGATTTCCTTCAGATTTCTTCATCCTGCCTTGTGTATATTCCCAAACCAACTTGCCAGGTGTCTTCAAAGAGTCCATAAATGGTAGCTATTTTCATGAGCTTCTGAAACACAGGCAATATTTACTTCAGGGAATCCAATGGGCTGCCTGTTTTCTTTCAGTTTATGCCATCCTCCACCACAGTGGTGAAATTTCCAGTTCTGCCGGTGCTGTTTTTCATTGCTCACTCAACCATTCCTTTCCAAACATGCAGCTTCTTTTCCTGCTTTGAAGGCTGTATGTTTAGGAAGAAGGTTTATGCCCACTGCTTTTTGACAAATAGCTGCTTCCCACGGGGTAGAAACTGTGCCAGTATATAGGTCATACTGGACGTCAAAGGGAATTGCATTTTTACCCAATAACCAGGTGGTTTTATCTCTTGGCAACACAATTTGCAGATTACTGTAAGCCCTTATAATGCTGAGTCACAAAATACAGCACACTAAAATACAAGATACAGTGGGGTCTTGACTTGAGAATTTAATCCGTATTGGAAGGCGATTCTCAAGTCAAAAAGTTCTCAGGTCAAATCTGCATTTCCCATAGGAATGCATTGAAGACCATTTGATCCGTACCTGCTCTTTTCCGTCCATAGAAACTAATGGGAAGCTGCTATTCCGCCTTCGACCATTAGAGGGGGATAGTTTGTTTCTTTTTTTTTCTTAGGTCACTAAAGGTTCAGGGAAGGCAGGGAAAATACAGTCCAGGCAGTACAGTACCAGGCAGTCTGAAGACTGTCTCCCAATCCACTCTCTAAACGCTGGGAGGAGTGAGGAAGCAGACAGGCACCCTTTTCACTGGCTAACAGTTAACTGAAAGTTCAAATTTTGCACTTTCCCTGCCTCCCACGTGGTTTTTTTCAGTTCTTAACTCAAATCTAAGTATGTAAGTCAAGTCAATATTTTCCTGTGAGAGTGGTTCTTAAGTCAAAATGTTCTTAACTCAAGCCGTTCTTAAGTCAAGACCCCACTGTACAGAGATAAGGAAAAGTACCCGTATTTTTCGCTCCATAAGACGCACCTTTCCATAAAACACACCAATTTTTTAGGAGATGAAAACAGGAAAATATAATCTGTTTTCTTCGCTCCATAAGACGCACAGACTTTCCACCCCCCTGTTTTGTGGGAAAAAAGTGCGTCTTATGGTGCGAAAAATACGGTACATCCTAATTATTAGATAATAATACTCTTCCTGCTCTTTTTCTTTCTTGCTGTATGTATTTTCACGTGTGTGCCTGTTTGTATGTACGTACACAGAGAAATATACTACACGTAATAGGGCTTATGTTTAACAGTGCTGACAGATTAAGGTGGTGAATTATCAGGAAACAAATGCTGAACAATTTGATCACACTGCTTTTGTGCCAGTGGCTTGGTAAAGAGACATAGTTCTAGTTGGCATGGGTGAGAATTTTGTTAAAATTTATTATTTATTTTATGAAAAATGGAAAAAAATACTTCATATCCAGAATGGGAAAAACATGCAGAAAAAAAAATTAATGCAGGAGAGACCAAAATTCACAGATTTCTCCATGGAAATCCCGGGCTCTCCTGGAAGTTAGGGCCATCCATGGCTACTAAACAGGAAAGGTTTGCCCTGTAAATTCACCCCTTTGTTCTGAGGGCAGCCCATGACCAGGAAAGAGGATTCACCTCCCTCTGAAAATGTGGGTTGAGTTGCCCTTGTGTTCTGGATCACAAATGGCCTTTACCTTTGTTCTCAGTTCTCCCCCTCTCTGTCCTCTATGTGTATGAAAGAGAAACCTAAGACCTAAGCACAGGGGTAGGATGCAAATCAAATCGGGAAAAATCAATAAAATAAAGTTTAACTACTAATTATATCCTGATGTTGGGAAAGTGTGAAGGCAAGAGGAGGACGTCGGATGACGAGATACTTGGACAGTGTCATCAAAGCTACCAACATAAATTTGACCAAACTCCAGGAAGCAGTAGAAGACAGGAAGGCTCTGGTCCATGGGGTCACAAAGGATCTGTCACGACTTAATGACTAAACAACAACAAACTAATTGTATAAACTGAAAGTGTTTGGAGGAAATCATCATTCCTTGACAATACTGATGAACATCTTATCCTTCACTTTTTCAATCCAGCTATGGAAAGAATTTTCAGAGATTTCTTGTGCAGAAATTAATCACCCCTACCTTGACCTGCTCACAAAACAAAACCTTTTCTATATTTTCCTTGTCTTAAAATTTGGAAATAGGGAGCTCTCATACACAAACAGAATTATGCCTCCTTTTTTTCAATAAATTTGCCACACTCAAGACTATAACATGAGAGCACAGACTGAAACAGTAAAATAATCCTGAAATCTCATTCATTCATCCATAATTTTTAAGGGAAGGGGAATAGCAAAGAATATGAGACTGGATAATACAGAGTTTTGACCATTTTTGTCCATCCTTCTGTCATTCAGATTTGTTTCATAGTCTACATTGATACGTGTGGTAAAAGGTGTTCTAGAGAATACTAACCATTTTTCATGACTGGCCTAAGATCTTGCCATTCATGAATTGCACCTGCTGTTGGCTTTTTTTGGCCCCTTAAAGTTTGGATGGGAAGAAATCGCAGCTGCCTTGGACTGGACTTGAACCAAGATACCACAGCGATAGTAATTGCTTAGAACTGCATAAAGAATGGATACACTGATTCCTATTAGCAGCAACAGAAGTTCAGTACCAGAGTGTATGAGACATGCTCCAGACAACGAATAATGAATGTCTTCTACAGGTGGCATCATCCTGCTGGGAGTTAGTGGGCCAACTATGTATGTCTTAGATAGTGTGTAAACTGAACTGCAGAATTCCTGGGTAGTTCACAAGATTAATTGCTCAAGGGTAAAAGAAACAACGTGGCAGCAAAGGCATGGAAAATCAAAATATCTTTGAAGTGGATTCACTCCTTTTTGCAGAGGTGGAACTGTTTTTGATCCGATTAAACAAGCCATTCAAAATAGCCAAGAGATTATTACCCTCTATCGGATTGCTCAGTGGTTTAAGCATCTGGCTGTGGAGGTTGGAAGTTTGATTCACCACTCTGTCTCCTTGACAAGGGTTGGACTCAATGATCTATAGGATCCCTTCTAGCGTTCTAAGGTAATTTTTTAAAAAGAGTGTGCTAGCGTTGACACCCTTTTTCCAGTAGAAGTCTTCCTCTAGCAGAATAGAAGCTTTGTTATTATATGGATCATATAAGCAGCCTTGCTATCCCTTTTGAAAGAGAACTGCTTTTTCCTTCCACCAAGAACTTGCACAATAATTTATCCACTCATTCCTACAATGGACCTATGGACCAATGATGCCCAGTTTGCATCATTGGTCCATAGCAGGATTCCTTTTAGACATCTGAGTATGAGAAAGGAAAACTTTTATTCATTTCCATTTCCTTTTCAAAATTCAGAAGTATAATTTTAGAGCCTTTGGATTCAACCTTGGTAGCATTCTCGAAGATCTATTTGGCAATGCTGCCTCAAGCATTTCTCAATATTTCTATTTTTTTAAAAAAAAACTACTACTATGATAATAACAATATGTTTCAAAAACTCATACAGTATGGCATAATTCCAGGCTTCAATTGATCTAATCTCCAGCAGGACTTACCTCATGGGAAGCTGCGTGGATTTGTATAGGGCGGCCCATGATGCTTAAAGTTGCCATGGTCAGGAAAAGACGGAAAGAATATCGCAGGAGTTGATCCATGGCTGGCATGAAAGTTTTGCCTCGTCTTTGCAGAAGGTTCTGTGGATGAGAACGCCTCCCTGGCATCTCTTTCATTCGTACTTTTAAACCTTAGAGGTTCTTTCCTCTGTTTTTTAAAAGGACCTATAAATGTAGCATTCATCCTGATACAAGCCTTGATTGTCCATGGATCCAAGACTGGAGGGTGGCCAGTTTCACTCACTACTCCGTTAAGATGAAGTAAAAACAAAATATTCTGAAGAGCCCGTGTCCTGTTTTCACCACTGGATGAGGGTTCTAGAGAAAAATAATAATAAGAGTCCACAAATATACCGTGTAAACAGGGGATGGCTCCAGATAGCTGAGGGGACAGAAGAAGGTCACTGCAACATTATCGGCATTACTCCCTTCTTCTACCTGCTGTTAATGTCTTTTGGCAATGGTGTGCCAAGGACGACTTCCTAAACTGAGTCACAGAAAATGCCCTAATTCAATAGGTGTGTGGATTGGAAACGGGGACATTTCCAGAGTCCAGGAACTTTAGTGAATTGACATAGCTCTTTTTGGATTTCTTCTAATCCTCCCATTTTGCAAGAAGCAAACCTCCCTGCTAGTTGGTGAAGCAGAGGGTTTTTTTTTCTTTCTGCCGCCCAAGCAGTGAGATAAACGAGGATATTGAGCTGTTGCACTCGGACTAATGGAAGACTGAGAAAAGGAAGCTGAGGTCTTTTCATGTTTATTTTTCTTCAAGGCATTTTTAAAAATTTCATACCAGTTTTGTTCCTCCACCTCAACACATTTCTTCTGCCAGCATTTTCAGATTTTTGGCCATAGCCCTCAAACTAAGCCAGGTTTAATTCTTGGCTCTTCTGTATTTTTATATTCCCTCCCTCAAAAAAAATAAAAATAAAATAAAAAATAAAAAATAAAAAAACACCACCCATAATCATACACTCCAACCCTATACTTCAGAAGAGTCAGGTGGCAGATTTTGGATATACAGTACTGAAAAGGCAGTGGTTGTATGTTTATTACTATTGCCTCTTTATTTTTCTACTGCAGGACGGGAGGGGAGAAATGCCTGTGGGATTTTAATGTCTCCGATTCCAAAATAACTTGGTTGACCATCTTGTATCATGCACTTCGATGTGTGTCTAGGGTTACCAATCCAACAGCTTAGCATTTCCTGAAAGTTTGGGGCCAAAACTTACAAACTTATGGTATAAGGAGAACGGCCTCTTGTAATATCACAGGAAGCGGGCTTTTCTGTAAGAACTGCAAAATAATGCCTGTATATTTCCCAGGGATGTTGGGAAGTCTTTAGGTCCAAGTTTGAGTTCCCATTAAAAATAAGCTTCCCCCCCCCCACAGAAAAAAAGGGAGGGTTGGGTGGGTTGAATCCAAGTCATTGGAAAAAAACCCCCCACCAAAACCCAAGTCACTACTGGTGCGACTTAAGTTCAACTTGACAGCAAGTCCCGCGACTTGAGTTCCCATCCCTGGCATTTCCATTGGAGATTGGAGACAATGAGGCAGACAATGGGGAATGGCTAACAAGTTACTCAGCCCTGTTCCCAGATGGCAGAGAGTGGGGAAGATGGTGCTCGGGCATTAAAGCCAGTGCCTACACAGGGCCATACTCCTGTAACAGTAATGTAACTATGGTAAATGGCTGTTTACTGAAAGGCCTGGATTGTACTGTGCTTGGGTAGGCTGTCTTGTGCTCTGTTGTAGGTGCAGAGGTGTCAGTGAGGTAAATATGTGACGAGTATGTCTTATACAAATTGTATCTGTAACTGTAAATAACTATTCAGAAGTGTTTAAAACTGTAATGGTAACTAATTGTCTTATAAAAAAAAATAACCTCCCATGTTTGGGTTTATTTGGCATTAACAGTTTGTTTAATCAAGTAGTATCACATTTTCTTGCTCCTCTTAAGTATATATAGTGTAATGGGCACCTTTCTCCAGTCTATACTTACAAGAGGTTACTTGCAACATTAAAGAACTAAATAAAAATGGGCTCCCTCTGTGTGTGAAACAACCACCTCTTTGACGGCACAAGACTAAAAAGAAATTTATTATCAGAATCATCACCACCTGAATAATTTTTTAAAAACATGACACTTCCAAAAGCAACAGAGTGGGTGGAGAGAGAACTCAAAGTGGTGTTTTGTTTTGTTTTTAAAATCAGAATTTGTTGGCAAACGGTTGGTGGGCTAAAGCGGAAGAAACCTACACTGTGTCCACTAGGAAGTTTGGCTCGAGTTCCTGGGGCCAATTGGAACGAGGCCGTAAGGATTATTTCCATTCCCGTTCCTAGAGGTAATAACTGCTGCCCTGGAATGGCAGAGAAGATATTTATGTTTTACAGAAGAGAGACTTCACTTTTTGCTCTCGTTTCCTCACAGCAACCATTTGGCACTTCTGGGCCTGACTTCTCCTTCGGTCACCTGGACTCAGACTTTGAACAGCAATTCCAAACGGCCCAGAACCTGCTGTTCCTTACATGTCCTTATACCAGAGGGTATATACAGCTGGTATGCCAGAGGAGTGTCCACCATCTCTCTCGCCTATTCAGCCCAAGAAGGCCGTGAGCGGGATTTTTTTTTTTTAAGGCAAGGAATTAAACAGGCAAGAATAATGTCAGGATGTAGGTAACTGGAATCTCCACTACAGGTCAGCAATTAAGGACTAAGGAGCCCATGATTCTGCAACAATCCAGGGACACCCTCAGGAACTGCTAGATAGCTCTGTGGTTTAGCTATTGGGCCGCAGAGCCAGTGGTTGGGAGTTCAATTCCCCACTGGGCCTTTTTTGACATGGGCGGTATTCAATGATCCATAGGGTCCCCTCCTAGCTCTGCAGTTCCAATATGATTATTATTATTACAAACCAGCGGTTGAAAAACATGCTCGGTTTTGGATTACAGCTCCCAGAATCCTCCAGCCATTTTGGGCCATGCTGTGTAACAGCTTCTAAGGGCCACAGCACAAGATCCCCCCCCCAAAGCACTGCACAGACCCTGTATTAGCATACAGGCACATAACAATGCTAGACCACTGTGGCATTCACCCCATGGCCCCTGCTTATTTCACCCAACACAGAGCTCACGAAGGTATCCCAACACGCCTCTTGACACGCTGTCACCAGTTGATCTCTTTATCAACATATATTTCTTTATGAAAGACTAAAGTCCATTCAGTACTGACTTTTTAACAGAAGCAGGTTTATTGATTACACGTGGTTTCAGGAATAATTCTTAAGCACCTTCTTAAGGTTACACAAAGCTTCAATATTTGACTTTGATCTCTTATATCTTAATCCATACTGGTCACACTCTAACTAATCTCTCCTTCAACACTCTTGCTCTGCCTCCAAAACCCCAAACTATTCTCTTCTCTGGCTTCCGCTGACTCTGACTGACTTCTCTCCCAGGCTCTGCCTCTTCAGCCGCCCCTTGGGCTCTGCTTCACAATCACATTAACATATAATGCATATCACTTAGGGTGAACGCCACAACCACCTTATTCCAATAACCTCAGTGTCTCATCCTATTGAGTAGGTAAACAAGAGAGGCTGAAGTCAAGCCTTAACAAGTGACTCAGTAGGCTTCTATCCCCAAGCTGGTTAACATGGTAAGTATCGTACAGGATCTCTGGCCCACCACCTGACCCTAGGCTGGCAGCCACTTACTGATGGCCACACAATCTCTGCTACCCGGAGTGTTGCATGTTCACCCTCAAAAGATGAACCTTGTGATGTATTCCTGGATTGTGATGCCATATGGATACTGTCCAATGGGGGCTAGTAACTCCAATTTCGGGGTATATGTGAATCCACAGTTTTAATCTGTGTTTTTTAAAGGCACTACAGTATCCAAGATGCTAAACCTTGTCTCCAAAACAGGTTTATTAACATGGGCACCTCTTGTAAAGTACAAGCTAAAATCCAGAGAAAATTTACAGCCCTCCTAATGTTGGGATCACCAGCTGCCACTGATCCTGATGTGCCCAACATACTCATGGCCCACCAACCCATACTGCAGTACATTGGATTAAAACGGGGGAAAGTGCTAGAAATTTGTATTATAAGTGGGGCTGTGCCTGTTTGCAACTGACTTGTTTGCAACTAAGCCACAGCAAATATATTTTCTTCTGTTTGTTGCTACAATGTAGTTCTAGCCAATTGCACCACCTCAAATTTAATGTAAAAAGAAAGCACTATTTTGAAGGAGAACCTACTCGGAAATAGCATCTGTGTCAAAACTGTTTTTATGTCACACAAGAAGCTTTCTGAAAATGGATTAAAAGACTACAAAATCCTTTTCAATGGGCGGCAATTTATTAGAAGGGAGTGACAAAGTGACAGGTCCGAGAATAAAAGGCAGTAAGATTTTGTCTTCATATTGAAACTGATAGGCAGTGTTCCTTTCAAGACTGGTTTGTTAAGCCACCGTTATGCTACTCTCTAAAACTATTTTGGTTTCCACACCTCCAACACAGTGAGTCCTTTTTTTCAAGTCATTAGCTTCTGATCTTTCTGCCAAAGATCATATCCTTCTCTGCTCTAAACTGTCCATGCTAATCCTGGAAAGTAAGTAGGACTGAGAAGCCAATTAAGTTCTAACACTGAACACATACATAGCCCGAGCAATTTAACTGATAGCCAGGACACCCTTTGATCTAACCATTTGCGTGTGAATTTGTCTTTTTAAACCTGTTTTTAATGTGTTAGTCATAACGCCTCCTGACTAGCTTCAAATGCTTGAGGGTTGCACAGTTGCACGGATCCAGCATTGCCAACCTTCGGCGGCCAGAACTAACTAATGATTTCTAACTCTCTTTGGCAGTGCCAAAAGACCTACTTAAAAGGGAGGTTTCCACTTCAGTGTGTATTCTTGGATCCTGTCATAAAAAAACTGGGTGGACAAATTATTCCCTGGAAAATGTCTTGTATAGAAATGGAAGACTTTCACAGCAGCTCTTAGTCACCCTTTCAGTGCCTATCTGGCTCCTCTTTCCATATTGTAGATATAAGAATATTAAGAAAAGACCTACTGACTCGGACTA